CAGATTCTGCAGCTCTTTCAGACCAAACCAAACACCAGATGTTTTGAGTTCTTGGTATTTCAAGACAACTGAAAATGGAAACCACAGAAAAGGTCTCCCTGAGCAACCACCTAATTTTAGTTGGGTATTTTTTTTCCCCTTTTCTGTCCAAAAAAGATCCCCCAAAGTACATACAAACAGAAATTGACTCTCATTGAAGTCTGTGATGGTTCAGACAAAAATTCCTTAGCACCACAGATCCTATGGATAAATCATCCCTTTCACAGAGTACCCAGTTGCTGAAAACTTTTGTTACATTATCCCAATCCTTCCCCCCCACCTCCCCAGCCTCCACTGCACTGATTTCCCCTGATTTCCCCTAAGCAATAAACATCCAGGAACACTGATTTTTTTATAGCCCAGCACACTTGGTCCATATTATAAGCACAAACATGAAAAACAGCAGCTTTGCTAAATCACATAACGCCAAAATGGCCTGATTCATTATTCCTATTTCCCTCATGATAAACCAAAACCTGAAACTTGTTGCCAAAAAAACCCCCAACAAACTCTGCATCAAAACAAGTGTGGCTAGGAGGTCAAGGGAGGTGATTCTCCCTCTCTACTCCAGTCTTGTGAGACCCCACCTGCAGTTCTGTGTCCAGCTCTGGAGCCCTCAACATGGAGCTGTTGGAGCAAGTCCAGAGGAGGCCACAGAGATGATGTGAAGGGTGGAGCAGCTCTGGAGACAGGCTAAGGTCTCCCTGGAGCCTTATTCTCCAGCCTCCAGCACTTGGACTATCTTCACAGTCTCCCCTGGACTCCATCCAAAATCTCCACATCTTTCTTGTGCTCTGGGCCCCAAAACTGGACACAGCACATCAGGAGGATTCTCACCAGAGAATCGAATGCTGGAGCTGCAAGAGGGAATTGGAGTGGTTGGAAAGAGGGAAATTTACAGCAGTTTCCTCTGCTGAGTTTTCTTTTTTCATGGCTCTTTCAAGGATCTTCTTGGCCTGACCCCAAAAGGAACTTCTGTAACCAAGGAACCTGCCTAGAAAACTGAATTACAATTTGGGCAGAAAACTGATGGTTCTGGGCAGGTTGTTATCAGCAGAGACAGAAAAAAAAGAAAGGTGAAGGTGGCTCACCCTTACATCTGGCTACATCAGGGGGGATGGTCCCAGCAGAAGGAGGTGCAGGGAGGGCTCACTCACATGGCTGGTCCACCTAAGTGCATCCATTTTTGTCCCTGGAAATGTATGCCAAGTTCTTCCACTCCTGTTACAGCTTCACAAGAAATAGTCCCCAGTGCTAGGTTTGTGTCTATATTTGGCCATAACCTAAATATTGAATGTCAAATCAAAGAGAGGTCACTACACTCTGAATGTGGAAATACCTCCCAGGCTTTTTGTGCAGCACAATGGACAAGCCAACAAAAGGGCTGTAACCAGCCGTGGTCACGTCACAATCCCAGAAATACCCAGTGAACTCCTTCCTCACTTCACTAACCCCACCAGTGCCTTTTGTCTCTGAACCAGCACAGCAAAGTAACACTGCAAGATGCTTTTCCCCTCAGCTGTCACTTCTGCTACACAGCACAAAGACAGCAAAACACTGAAGAGCCACCATTCCAGTTTACTACACCCTGTCATGATGGTCACACACAGCTCTATTTTTAGCTCTAACCCAAATAGAAGATGTAAACTCACAAAAGCTTTTCCAGTGTCTGCATATGGGAAAAAAAACAACATTCAAGCCTATCAAGAACAAGAATAATGAGATTAAACTACATTTTTAAAAGACATTTAACTTCTGGAATTTCAGTTAACTTTTCTATATCTCACATACTAAAGGCTGTAATCCTCCCCCTCAGTTAAAAAAAACAAGAATCAGGGATATTTAAGTTCTGCTAAAATTGCAATTTAGGAGCAGTTTCCAGATCTTTTTATTATAAGTGCAGGGTTTTTCCCAGTGCCTTTTAAATATTTGATCGTTTCTTTTTGTCACATTTAGATTCTTAGGGAGCAACACAATGAACCCTCCCTCAGAAGTTCAAAAAGTCACATGTGTTTATATTTTTAACTCCAAATTACTCAGTCTGAAAGCATTTAAAGATAAAACTTAGTCAACACCCAAATTTAAATTTTAATAGAAATTTCTATTGGTAAATTCTGAAAAAAAATTTAATCCTCTCGTTTTAATACAAAACAAGTAAAAATATTCCTCACTAATTAAGAGTGATCTTTGTGTGATCTAAACATGGTATAAATTGTATTTCCATCCACAGGGATTTGGACTAAGGAACAACTTTCAGGAATGAGTGAGAGTTCACTTTCCTGCCCCAGGTGAATGGAAACTATTTTCCAAGCATCTTTTTTTTAACATCAATATACTTTATTTTAAATCTTAGCAAATCTAAAGCATGTACAGAAATGAAAGCACAGAAACTGCAGCTCCCGCCCACTCACTATTTGAACATGAAAGCTGCGTTAATAACTTGCAGTATTTTGCAAGACATTTGTAAATTATATATACACATTTCTACCTATTTAGTTGATTCTGCAGTACAACAGCCACTGGAATCATCAGCAACAGATTGGTAATAACTGCCATAATTTTGTTGCTCAAGGTAGGTAAGTTTTCACAGTCTCTGCCTCTGCTTCCCTACTCAGCTCCATTAATGCACAACCTTTGGATTTTCTACACAGGTAGAAACCCTACCCTATCTATGGTTACCCATTTCTGCATATTAAGAGCTAATAAATTAAAATTGCCAAAGGTGACACCTGGGATTTATTTTGCTTGCTACTAAAAGCTCCTAAAACAGTGTCTCATATTCCAAGCTTATAAATTCACCTGAATGACTGAAATAGAGGGAGATGTAATGAGACATATTTTGATTTTTCTCATTACAGAGCTCAGGGATAGCTTTGCATTTTTGTTTTATGCATGTTTTATTTGCATATTTTATTCAGTCTATGAATGTGTTGGTAACTGAGTTTCAAGATCTTGCTCAATAGGAACATGGACATTAGTCCCACCAGGTTTACTTGGGGCTATTTATATCACCTTTTTTACAGGAGTTTTGCAATGATGGGCTACACTCCAGCCAAGGATAAGTCCCTAGGATACTATCTGGGTTCTTGCAGACACCCTCTGAGTTAAGAGATTGCCAAAAAGGTTTTTAACTACCCATTACAAAGGTTCTTACTCAGCCTTTATTTCAGAGCCTCCAAATAATCAATGATAATCCCAACACGCACCGATGCATTAGGCACAAATTCTTCTTTCCATACTGCCAGCTGCTGTTTTCCTGGTCTCCACCATTTCTTACTGGAAGAACCTGACACTTCTTGCTGTGTAAGATTTATTCCAATCCCCCCTTTGCATTGTGAGGCCCCCTGGACACATGCAACCCTCTGCCACTTCAGAGAACACAACTTAAAACTGATGATGACTTTGATTAAATACTAGGTAAACCATCATGGGTAAATCAAACAACAAATAGTTGAGAATAGCTCATAGACTCATAGAATCACCTTTCATTGCCAGTGATATTTATGTGGAAAAGCTGTTCAGAAAAGGGAGGAGGGGGGAAAACCCACCCACAATCCACAAACCAATTCCACCCGCCAACAGAGAAGAGAAGGCGCGATAAACCAATTGCACAGCAAAGAGCAAATCAGAAATCTCTTCCAGAACAATAGAAAACTTCCTTAAAATCATTCCTTGGAAACTCAAGGATTCTAAAAGGAAGAGCTGCACAGCTCAAGATGTGTTTGACTCCCCAAAGAAACTGCTGACCCTGCCCCTACATCAAGGTTCAAAAAGGGGTTGGCCAATTACATGCATTGAAAGGTACGATGGTGATTTCAAAAATGAAAATAAACATGATGGTTACAAACTTAGTACAACCTCTAATAATTGTAAATTAGGTTTAAAACTATTGCAGGAAGCAGATTATACCATGTCTGTCTGCATGCTTAGAAACATCTGGAACAGTTCTCACCACTGAGTATGGTCTGGACAGAGCCAATACTGGTTAATTACTGCTACATACTGAGGAAATTGGACAGTGCAGGCAAAACATCTCAAACCTTTCAAAAAAAAAAGAAAGATGACTCTCAGCACCTACCCAATATACAGCCACTGTTATTTTGCCTATAAGAAAACAATGTTGGACAAGTGACACAGGAACACCTGGCAGATCAGACCTGCAGACATATCCCACCTTGTAGCCCTAAATTGTTGCCAAAGTATGATATTTCCCCTGCACAATCATACTGAGAAGAAACCAGTGGCTTAGTAGAAAATGTTAGATTTCCAAAACCTCTAGGTTGCTTGGGAAGAGAGATGAGCACTACAAACTACATTTCATAAAGAGGTGCTGGATATTTAACCTCACCACAGGCTTACCTTGGGCATTGTGAACCAGCACCTTGGCTCAGCAAACTAATCACCTTTTGAAAAATCTCAGGTACTGGGGATGTGGGATATAATAATAAGCAAAAAGGGGGAAAATAAGCAAAAGGGGGAAACATAAGCAAAAGGGGGAAAAATAAGCAAAAGGGGGAAAAATAAGCAAAAGGGGGAAAAATAAGCAAAACAAACCCAAAATAACCCAACCCAGAAGTCACAGGCTCCATACAGTGTAGATTAGAACCACCCATGGACTAGAAACTTCCTGGACCCTTCCATGCCCCTACTTAGCTCAGCTTACAAGGTAATTAGTTTTCATTTACATCTTCTTTAGCTTCAACTATGTCTGAAGGTCCAAAATATTTGTGGGGTGAAAAAAGCCCTTTGTCATCCCATATTTACCATAGTTCACCAAAAGAGATCATGGCTTTTGGCTTTAAGAAAGACATAAAGGGAAGTGAAGTTTCTTCTAGGTGCCATGAAATGACACCTGCTCTCCTGCAAGTACCCTCAGTACCTTCTGCCCTGCCAACCACTGGGTGTAGTGTGGTACGTAGGCCACGTGCATGGAGAAAGAAGTGACAGGAAGAAGTACTCACCACAAGGACAGCATTCAAGTGATCACTTTGGACCTGCTGCACTTGGATGCACCTGGGTCCTGGCACTTGTAACCTTGCACCACTGGGGACGTTCCCAGCATTACCATTTGGGATGTTGCTGTTACTAGACCCAAGACCTAGAGATGCCCTGTACAAGTAGGTATGAGTGAGTTTCCCCACACCAGTGACCTTCAGCATGTCCGGTGGGAGGTGGGAGCTGGGAAGCATGTGCACACTGTAGCAATACTTCTCATACTCCTCAGCTGGGCAGCAGCAACCCCGGCAGCAGCAAGCGCGGCAGCGGCACAGCCGCACGATGGCGAGGAAGAGGAGGAACGTGGCGAAGATGAAGGAGACACAGGCAAGAGAAATGATCAAGTAGATATTCGTAGCGTTGAGCAGTGGTGGTGGCTCCCCACTGTCGTCAAAGTCTGGCAGCACCTGGGGCAGGGTGTCAGCCAGCAGGATGCCCACCGTCACAGTAGAGGAGAGTGGCGGGTCCCCGTGGTCCTGCACCACCACAACCACCTTGTGCTTGAGGAAGTCAGTGGAGCGCATGGAGCGCGTGGTGCGCAGCTCACCGGAGTGCGGCGCCAAGCGGAACAGGCTGGAGTCGGAGGAATGGGCCAGGTGATAGGAGAGCCAGGCATTCTGTGCATTGTCCTCGTCGTCCGCCACCACTTTGGTCACCAGATAGTCCTCATCAGCCAGGCGGGGCACAACCTCCACAGCTACCGAGCCATTCTGGTTGGTGGGGTACAGGATGGCTGGGGCATTATCATTCTGGTCTGAGATGTAAACATTCACTGTTACGGCAGCACTCAAGGCTGGTGACCCGTTGTCCTTGGCTTCCACTTGGAAATGGAAGCTCCTAAGCTGCTCAAAATCAAAGGCACGTGTTGCATAGATGCTCCCATTGGCCAAGCTCACAGACAAAAAGCTGGCCAGGGCACTGCCTGCAACTGTGGAATTCCTGAGCACGTAAGAGACCCGTCCGTTCTCCCCCATATCAGGGTCAGATGCCGAGACCTGGTAAAGAAAAGCACCGAGTGGATTGTTCTCCTCCACAAACACATCAAGTGTGTCAGCACTGAAGACAGGGGCATTATCATTCACATCAGAAATTTGCACCCAGAGGGTCTTCTGAGTGGTGATGGGTGGAGAGCCCAAGTCTGTGGCAGTAATGGTGATGTTGTACTCGCTGATCAGCTCTCGGTCCAGAAGCCCACTGGTGACCAGGCTGTAGTAGTTTTCCAGGGAAGGCTTTAACTGGAAGGGAAGGTTATCAGGGATAGTGCAGTTTACCTTCCCGTTCTCCCCAGGGTCCTTATCAATTATACTCAGCAGAGCTATCACTGTGCCAGGAACAGCATCCTCAGGTATGGGACTGGAAAGGGATGTAATTGTTATCTCTGGGCCATGATTGTTCACATCAGTGATTTCCACCAGCAGCTTAGCAGTGCTGGACATGCCAAATGCCCCGTTATCCCTTGCCTCAATAAGCATCTCGAGGAGAGGTCTCTGAACAGCTAAAACGCCGTTGACTGTCACCTCCCCAGTGTGTGGGTGAATTAAGAACATTCGCTGCAGCTCAGCAGAAGTAGTATTGCTAAATGAATACCTGATCTCTCCGTTTGGACCTTCATCCAAGTCCGTGGCATGCACTTGCACAACCAAAGTGCCACTGGGGGAGTTTTCCAAGATACTCGCCCTGTAGACCGAGTGCTCAAATTCTGGTGCATTGTCATTAGTATCCAGCACAGTCACAATGACCGGGACATCACCGGACTTTGGAGGGTTCCCACCATCTTTGGCTGTAAGGACAAGTTTGTGAGTGGCTTGCTGCTCCCTGTCTAAGGCTTTCTTCAGCACCAATTCAGGATATTTACTCCCGTCCCCACGCGTCTGCATTTCCAAATGGAAATGTTCATCAGGGCTCAGAGTATAATTCTGGACACTGTTGGCACCTTCATCAAGGTCTTGGGCATTGGGGAGTGCAAACCGTGCCCCGGGTGACAAAAATTCAGGCACATTTATATGATATTCACTTAAGGGAAAGCTGGGAGAGTTGTCATTTATGTCCAAGACTTTAAATTCCATCCTATACAGCTCTAGAGGATTTTCTAACACGAGTTCATAATTCAGAAGACAGGCAGACTTCAATTCACAGAGCTGCTCTCTGTCTATGGGCTCATTAACAGACAGAGCCCCCGTGCTTGCATTTATATTAAAATATTGCTTACTTGAACCAGTGATCATGCGAAATTTCCGAGCTGAAAGCGAAGCTGCATCTATTCCTAAATCCTTTGCTATGTTCCCGACAGACGCTCCACGCTCCGTTCCCTCGGCGATCGAATACACAACTTGCCCGTCCGCGGTGCAGCAAATAAGGCAGAAGACCATTAAATAGACCCGCATTCTTCCTCCCCTGGCTCAGCTCCCCGCAGACCGGCACGGCAGGAACATAATCCAGAATTGCACCAAAACCCCCCTGAAGTGCCCAGCACGAGGCGAACCGGCGGCAGGGAGCGAACGGGAACCGGGGCGCAGCGGTGACAAGTTGACTACAGGGGTGCGGGACGCGTCCCGGCCCCGCGCCGGTCCCCCCCCACCCACCCC